AAGTAATCTCACACCAGTACAGTTATATAAGTAATCTCACACCAGTACAGTTTTATAAGTAATCTCACACCAGTACAGTTATATAAGTAATCTCACACCAGTACAGTACAGTGTATACACCAGTAATCTCACACCAGTACAGTTATATAAGTAATCTCACACCAGTACAGTTATATAAGTATACACCAGTACAGTTATATAAGTAATCTCCTACCAGTACAGCTGTATAAGTAATCTCACACCAGTACAGTTATATAAGTAATCTCACACCAGTACAGTTATATAAGTAATCTCACACCAGTACAGTTATATAAGTAATCTCACACCAGTACAGCTGTATAAGTAATCTCACACCAGTACAGTTATATAAGTAATCTCACACCAGTACAGTTATATAAGTAATCTCACACCAGTACAGTATATAAGTAATCTCACACCAGTACAGTTATATAAGTAATCTCACACCAGTACAGTTATATAAGTAATCTCACACCAGTACAGTTATATAAGTAATCTCACACCAGTACAGTTATATAAGTAATCTCACACCAGTACAGTTATATAAGTAATCTCACACCAGTACAGTTATATAAGTAATCTCACACCAGTACAGTTATATAAGTAATCTCACACCAGTATTATATAAGTAATCTCACACCAGTACAGTTATATAAGTAATCTATATAAAGTAATCTCACACCAGTACAGTATAGTAATCTTATATAAGTAATCTCACACCAGTACAGCTTATATAAGTAATCTCACACCAGTACAGCTATAAGTAATCTCACACCAGTACAGTTATATAAGTAATCTCACACCAGTACAGTTATATAAGTAATCTCACACCAGTACAGTTATATAAGTAATCTCACACCAGTACAGTTATATAAGTAATCTCACACCAGTACAGTTATATAAGTAATCTCACACCAGTACAGTTATATAAGTAATCTCACACCAGTACAGTTATATAAGTAATCTCACACCAGTACAGTTATATAAGTAATCTCACACCAGTACAGTTATATAAGTAATCTCACACCAGTACAGTTATATAAGTAATCTCACACCAGTACAGTTATATAAGTAATCTCACACCAGTACAGTTATATAAGTAATCTCACACCAGTACAGTTATATAAGTAATCTCACACCAGTACAGGTATATAAGTAATCTCACACCAGTACAGTTATATAAGTAATCTCACACCAGTACAGTTATATAAGTAATCTCACACCAGTACAGTTATATAAGTAATCTCACACCAGTACAGTTATATAAGTAATCTCACACCAGTACAGTTATATAAGTAATCTCACACCAGTACAGTTATATAAGTAATCTCACACCAGTACAGTTATATAAGTAATCTCACACCAGTACAGTTATATAAGTAATCTCACACCAGTACAGTTATATAAGTAATCTCACACCAGTACAGTTATATAAGTAATCTCACACCAGTACAGTTATATAAGTAATCTCACACCAGTACAGTTATATAAGTAATCTCACACCAGTACAGTAATAATATAATCTCACACCAGTACAGTTATATAAGTAATCTCACACCAGTACAGTTATATAAGTAATCTCACACCAGTACAGTTATATAAGTAATCTCACACCAGTACAGCTGTATAAGTAATCTCACACCAGTACAGTTATATAAGTAATCTCACACCAGTACAGTTATATAAGTAATCTCACACCAGTACAGCTGTATAAGTAATCTCACACCAGTACAGCTGTATAAGTAATCTCACACCAGTACAGTTATATAAGTAATCTCACACCAGTACAGTTATATAAGTAATCTCACACCAGTACAGTTATATAAGTAATCTCACACCAGTACAGTTATATAAGTAATCTCACACCAGTACAGTTATATAAGTAATCTCACACCAGTACAGTTATATAAGTAATCTCACACCAGTACAGCTGTATAAGTAATCTCACACCAGTACAGCTGTATAAGTAATCTCACACCAGTACAGTTATAAGTAATCTCACACCAGTACAGTTATATAAGTAATCTCACACCAGTACAGTTATATAAGTAATCTCACACCAGTACAGTTATATAAGTAATCTCACACCAGTACAGCTGTATAAGAAATCTCACACCAGTACAGTTATATAAGTAATCTCACACCAGTACAGTTATATAAGTAATCTCACACCAGTACAGTTATATAAGTAATCTCACACCAGTACAGTTATATAAGTAATCTCACACCAGTACAGTTATATAAGTAATCTCACACCAGTACAGTTATATAAGTAATCTCACACCAGTACAGTTATATAAGTAATCTCACACCAGTACAGTTATATAAGTAATCTCACACCAGTACAGTTATATAAGTAATCTCACACCAGTACAGTTATATAAGTAATCTCACACCAGTACAGCTGTATAAGAAATCTCACACCAGTACAGCTGTATAAGTAATCTCACACCAGTACAGCTCACACCAGTACAGTTTTATAAGTAATCTCACACCAGTACAGTTATATAAGTAATCTCACACCAGTACAGTTATATAAGTAATCTCACACCAGTACAGCTGTATAAGTAATCTCACACCAGTACAGTTATATAAGTAATCTCACACCAGTACAGTTATATAAGTAATCTCACACCAGTACAGTTATATAAGTAATCTCACACCAGTACAGCTGTCTAAGAAATCTCACACCAGTACAGTTATATAAGTAATCTCACACCAGTACAGTTATATAAGTAATCTCACACCAGTACAGCTGTATAAGTAATCTCACACCAGTACAGTTCATAAGTAATCACACAGTACAGTAATCTCACACCAGTATATAGTAATCTCACACCAGTACAGTTATATAAGTAATCTCACACCAGTACAGTTATATAAGTAATCTCACACCAGTACAGCTGTATAAGTAATCTCACACCAGTACAGTTGTATAAGTAATCTCACACCAGTACAGCTGTATAAGTAATCTCACACCAGTACAGCTGTATAAGAAATCTCACACCAGTACAGTTATATAAGTAATCTCACACCAGTACAGTTATATAAGTAATCTCACACCAGTACAGTAAGTAATCTCACACCAGTACAGTTATATAAGTAATCTCACACCAGTACAGCTGTATAAGTAATCTCACACCAGTACAGTTATATAAGTAATCTCACACCAGTACAGTTATATAAGTAATCTCACACCAGTACAGCTGTATAAGTAATCTCACACCAGTACAGTTATATAAGTAATCTCACACCAGTACAGTTATATAAGTAATCTCACACCAGTACTCACACCAGTACAGCTGTATAAGTAATCTCACACCAGTACAGTTATATAAGTAATCTCACACCAGTACAGTTATATAAGTAATCTCACACCAGTACAGCTATATAATCTCACACCAGTACAGTAATCTCACACCAGTACAGTTATATAAGTAATCTCACACCAGTACAGTTATATATAAGTAATCTCACACCAGTACAGTTGTATACACCAGTAATCTCACACCAGTACAGTTATATAAGTAATCTCACACCAGTACAGTTATATAAGTAATCTCACACCAGTACAGCTGTATATAAGTAATCTCACACCAGTACATCTCACACCAGTACAGTACAGCTGTATAAGTAATCTCACACCAGTACAGTTATATAAGTAATCTCACACCAGTACAGTTATATAAGTAATCTCACACCAGTACAGTTATATAAGTAATCTCACACCAGTACAGTTATATAAGTAATCTCACACCAGTACAGTTATATAAGTAATCTCACACCAGTACAGTAATCTCACACCAGTACAGTTGTATAAGTAATCTCACACCAGTACAGCTGTATAAGTAATCTCACACCAGTACAGTTATATAAGTAATCTCACACCAGTACAGTTATATAAGTAATCTCACACCAGTACAGTTATATAAGTAATCTCACACCAGTACAGTTATATAAGTAATCTCACACCAGTACAGTTATATAAGTAATCTCACACCAGTACAGCTGTATAAGTAATCTCACACCAGTACAGCTGTATAAGTAATCTCACACCAGTACAGCTGTATAAGTAATCTCACACCAGTACAGCTGTATAAGTAATCTCACACCAGTACAGATCTAGGAATAGTGTTTATCTTTGATGATAAACTGAGGAATAGTGTTTATCTCTGATGATAAACTGAGGAATAGTGTTTATCTCTGATGATAAACTGAGGAATATTTTTTATCTCTGATGATAAACTAAGGAATAGTGTTTATCTTTGATGATAAACTGAAGAATAGTGTTTAACAGAGGCATAGATAATAGGTTACCTCCCTTGATGATTAGTATGTAGGTTACCTCCCTATAATGACTGTAGTATGTAGGTTACCTCCCTATAATGACTGTAGTATGTAGGTTACCTCCTTATAATGACTAGTATGTAGGTTACCTCCTTTTAATGACTGTAGTATGTAGGTTACCTCATCATGATTAATTGTAGGTTACCTCTTTATAATGACTGTAGTATGTAGGTTACCTCCTTATGATGACTAGTATGTAGGTTACCTCCCCATAATGACTATAGTATGTAGGTTACCTCCCTATAATGAATATAGTATGTAGGTTACCTCCCTATAATGACTGTAGTATGTAGGTTACCTCCCTATAATGACTTGTATGTAGGTTACCTCCTTATAATGACTAGTATATATGTTACCTTCCTTTAAAGACTGTAGTATGTAGGTTACCTCCTTATAATGACTATAGTATGAAGGTTACCTCCCTATAATGACTGTAGTATGTAGGTTACCTCCCTATAATGACTTTGGTATGTAGGTTACCTCCCTATAATGACTGTAGTATGTAGGTTACCTCCCTATAATGACTTTGGTATGCTAAGGCCCTGTTCTACAGAGAATATACAATTATAGCATGTTGCATGATGACACATTTCCATGATAATTAATGCAATGTTATGCCTCCTTTTTTTCTGTAGGAGGAGACCCCTCAAGGATTTTTCGAGGACCATGGCCTTGGATGAATACGCATGGGCATGTTTTAATAGACAAATCTATCCCGTAGAACAAATTTTACTTGCTACCTGCCGTAATATGATTATCCTTTCCGTGATTTTCAAAAGAAGTTTTCACTGTTGTGTTTAGCTTATGTTGTTAAGAGGTTAATTGAAATAATGAAAGATAAGATATCTACATGTCATTTAGATTTATTTAGTTTACAAGGAAGGAAAATAAACAAATTCAGTAATTTCTTATTAAATTTTATATTAAGTAGCGTTTGCTTTCAACAAGTTCATTGATTTCTGGCACTGTCTCAAAGTGAAAATATCAAGAGCTGTGTAAAATGTATTTTTTGTGAATTGAAAATGCTTTTGTTATGGTTTTATATGGAGAAAATGTCTAAAAGTTGTTATAAAAATTGCTAGCTTTTTTCATACACCAAGGAAAAATGTTCCATTGCTTTTAAGTTAAATTTTCTGTGAATTTTTATCTTAACTTTCACCAAATTCTAGAGATTATTTTATGGAATTTTTTCCCTTGGAATGTAGGAAGTTGTGAACTTTTAATTAGTTACACCTTAAAAGGAAATTTCTTGATAAATGCTTGAAAAAAATGAAAATATGAGATAAAATTATGATTCATGTGAGACTTAGGAACTGTTGTCAAGCAGACATGTTGATATGTTTATTTTTTCTTACACAACAAAAGACAGTTTGTGTCTTAATTTGAAATTATAAAAACTACAGAAAATCATCTCGGTATTACTATTCCTGGCAGCCATCTTGAAAGATAACAATTTTTTTAACCTGAAAGGAAAACAAAAAATTTTATTCCTAACTTTTACATTTAATTAGCAATAAAGATGTTGATTTAATGATACCCAAGTACTGATGTATCGAGGATTTGTATTTATTGGACAATAGGATTTTCTAATACTTGTTCCTTTTTCTTTTTTCTTTTTTTAATACCTGTAATTCTAGCAAATATAAATGGGCATTAAAACTGAACAGTTGTAACAAAATTTTGAGCCAGGATCCAGGATAATATTTATTACTATGTGCGTTGCTGCTATGTTCAGGCCCAGTTAATAGGTGGATTTGTCTATTTGATGTAAGAATTCTCATCTTACTGATATATTAGTGTATTTACAGGTTAATGGTAACTGTAGAATTCTATAAAGGAGGGGGGATTCACTGGTTTGTGATTGTTGATTTACTCCAAATTTTGTAACTGCAAAACCTTGTTATAATGCCGTTAATGGTACAACACTATACTGACATCTTATAAAGAGGTTTGGCGTTATAAAGCTGAAGCATAAAGATGGATCTATGAGAGGAAAAAATGTAGATAATCTGACAATGGTGGAAACATGAGTGGCATTATAACAAGTTTTTATGGTATAATTACATGTCATAATAAAGAGGTTTAAATGTGACTTAAAACATAATACATGTAGTACTGTATTTATCCATCAATAAGCCCATGTCTGGCAATAAGCCAGTCCATATATCAAACTGTTCAGTAAGATAATTAGTGCTTTTTCATCGTTCTGAAATAATCGCACCCCAACTCTAAGACATTCCATGTTCGTATCTAGGGCATATTGTTGGATAAATACAGTGAGATGGGTTATTTATTGTTAACGTGTCAAAACATTTTGGCCGCATTCCAATTGAACTATGTTAAGTATATGTCTTTGTAATGTATGGTTACGTATGTCCTGATGACTGTAAACTTAATCCACAGTAGCATGAGTTGTTATGTCAAGTGCTTGCAACAAAACAATGCTTCAATTTTTATACTCAAGTGTGTAATATGTATCTGTTAATGATTGATGTGATAATTCTCTGTAGCAAATAATACAAAGATAACATGTTGTACATGTAAAGTGAATTATATGCCATTAACAAACTGACTTTGAAAGTCCCTAGAGATTCCATTAATAACAAATTTTACTTTATAAAGTAAATCGCACCTATGAACACTGAATCACTATAGTAACACTACTTCTCCTCCAGGCTTAATGATATCAACATGATGAAATATACATACTTTCACAGGAAAACAAAATTGCTTGTGAATGTATAAGGAAATGAATCATAGTGCTTATGAAAATGTTGTACATGTGCCTTGTACATGAGTCAATGATCAAAATTTCAGATAAATATTTAGTAATTAAGATTGTTTGGTTTAGCAGTTTGGAGGGGAGAGGATATATGTTCAGATTATAGGGTTCTTGATATTTTACATGAATATGAGATTATGTCTCCAAAACCTCCTTTGTGAAGAGGTTGTAGGTGAATACTTTTACACATCAGATGTGAAAGTGCTTTTGAACTCGCCTGTGTTTATGTTGGTGTAAATGTAACTTTCAGTATTTGTTCTCAAGTTCTGGTATTTGGTAATGGCCCAATATTTATGTAAAAATTGGACTGAGATGATTTTAAAAATACATATTTTATCATTTCTGTTAGACTTCGTCCCAAACCTTCAGGATAAGGGTTCTACATACATGTGACCTTCACTATTATTAGGAGGATGTTGGTTATTTGTTTGATCCATGTTCCCTAGAATTCCAACTTTATCACAAATGATGATTAAAAAAAAAAAAACGGGACAAAAATCAGTATTTTTGAAATCTTGGTTTTGGTGCATTTTTGAGAATTAAGTTTCTTAAATTTACGAAGTTCAATAATATTTCCTGAAAACTGTTCTTTTCTTACATGTACAAGGAGTATAAGAGGAGTTTAGTGAAATTCTTACTATGAATGAATAAAATCTATACCTTAACATTGGTCACTGTGTTAGATAGGGCTATCTTAGTCTAAGGCTAGAAGTCTTCAATAAAGCTTAACTGAGGGCTACACAGGTTGTGTTTTCAATAAAATACCAAATTTGGGGTAAATCCTGTCTCATTATCAACAGTAATTTCTTTTCTTGTCTTTCATTTGGTTATAAAATGTAGAATATTTGATAAGTATCCTTTTAGTATATGGCCAGACAGTGTGCTTTTAAAGCTAATTAGAATGCTTCTGTTAAAAATGGTAGAAAAAATTGTTTCACATGCTTATTTCATGTTCTTGTAACATTTTGAATTCAATAGAAATGTTCATTTAACTCCATTGTAGCGCAAATTATTTATTAAATGGTGCAAGTATTCAGATAAAAATACCATCATATTAAATTTTCAAACCCGAAGAAACTAGAGATGTTTGCCCTAAATAGAGTGATTGAGCTTACAGAATCATGTGGTAAAAGATTTGTCTGAAGTACAGGTAGTAATGTTTATTGGTGTCTTGTGATAAAAATTAAAGGAGTATGATTTTGTCTTTGCTTTTCTGTTGTACTATGAAAATTCCATGTATATTATTGGAAGAAATCTCATTAATAAATATATGGATAAAAATCACATAGAGTAACTTATTTGTGGATATTGTGATGCTGACAGCAGATGTAGTGGTCTGTCATCCCCAACCATAGTGTTCTGAAGACAGTGATCTGTCACCCTCTACCATGGTGTACTGAAGACAGTGATCTGTCACCCTCTACCATGGTGTACCGAGGGGATGGTGAGCTGTCACCCCCCACCATGGTGTACCGAGAGGATACTGAGTTGTCGCTCTCTACCATGGTGTACTGAGGGGATGGTCAGTTGTCACCCTCCACCATGGTGTACTGAGAGGATGGTGAGCTGTCGCCCTCTACCATGGTGTACTGAGAGGATGGTAAGTTGTCACCCTTCACCATGGTGTACTGAGAGGATGGTGAGTTGTCACCCTCCACCATGATGTACTGAGAGGACGGTTAGCTGTCACCCTCTACCATGGTGTACTGAGAGGATGGTGAGCTGTCACGCTCCACCATGGTGTACTGAGAGGATGGTGAGCTGTCACGCTCCACCATGGTGTACCGAGGGGATAGTGAGCTGTCACCCTCCACCACGGTGTACTGAGAGGATGGTGAGTTGTCACGCTCCACCATGGTGTACCGAGGGGATAGTGAGCTGTCACCCTCCACCACGGTGTACTGAGAGGATGGTGAGTTGTCACCCTCCACCTTGGTGTCCTGAAGACAGTGATCTGTCACCCTTCACTTTGGTGTACTGAGGGGATGGTGATCTGTCACCCTTCACCATGATGTACTGAAGGCAGAGATCTGTTACTCTCTACCATGGTGTACTGAAGGCAGAGATCTGTCACCTTCTACCATAGTGTACTGAAGACAGTGAGCTGTCACTCTCTACCATAGTGTACTGAAGACGGTGACCTGTCACCCTTCACCTCGGTGTACTGAAGACAGTGATCTGTCACTCTCAACCTTGGTGTACTGAAGACAGTGAGCTTTCACCCTCAACCATGGTGTACCGAGGGGATGGTGAGCTGTCACCCTTCACCATGGTGTACTGAAGACAGTGATCTGTCACCCTTCACCTTGGTGTACTGAAGTCAGTGAGCTGTCACCCGTTACCATGGTGTACTGAAGACAGTGAGCTGTCACCCTTCACCATGGTGTACTGAAGACAGTGAGCTGTCACCCTCAACCTTGGTGTACTGAAAACAGTGATCTGTTACCCTCTACCATAGTGTACTGAAGACAGTGAGCTGTCACCCTCAACCTTGGTGTACCGAAGACTGAGCTTTCACCCTCAACCTTGGTGTACTGAAGACAGTGAGCTGTCACCCTCAACCATGGTGTACTGAGGGGATGGTCAGTTGTCACCCTCCACCATGGTGTACTGAGAGGATGGTCAGCTGTCGCCCTCTACCATGGTGTACTGAGAGGATGGTGAGCTGTCACCCTCCACCATGGTGTACTGAGAGGATGGTGAGCTGTCACCCTTCACCATGGTGTACTGAGAGGATGGTGAGTTGTCACCCTTCACCATGGTGTACTGAGAGGATGGTGAGCTGTCACCCTTCACCATGGTGTACTGAGAGGATGGTGAGCTGTCACCCTCCACCATGGTGTACTGAGAGGATGGTGAGCTGTCACCCTCCACCATGGTGTACTGAGAGGATGGTGAGTTGTCACCCTTCACCATGGTGTACTGAGAGGATGGTGAGCTGTCACCCTCCACCATGATGTACTGAGAGGATGGTGAGTTGTCACCCTTCACCATGGTGTACTGAGAGGATGGTGAGTTGTCACCCTTCACCATGGTGTACTGAGAGGATGGTCAGTTGTCACCCTCCACCATGATGTACTGAGAGGATGGCGAGTTGTCGCCCTCTACCATAGTGTACTGTGAGGATGGTGAGCTGTCACCCTTCACCATGGTGTACTGAGAGGATGGTGAGCTGTCACCCTCCACCATGATGTACTGAGAGGATGGTGAGTTGTCACCCTTCACCATGGTGTACTGAGAGGATGGTGAGCTGTCACCCTCCACCATGATGTACTGAGAGGATGGTGAGTTGTCACCCTTCACCATAGTGTACTGTGAGGATGGTGAGCTGTCACCCTTCACCATGGTGTACTGAGAGGATGGTGAGTTGTCACCCTCAACCATTTTTTTTGAGGAAGTGGTGAGCTCTCTAATATGTGCTTATATATAGAATCTATTCTCCCATTCCTTTACCTACACTCAGCTAAAATACAGAAAAATACATACATCAGTAGGTTAGATTGAGGTGTTAAATGCTGTCCTTATGTCCATGGCATTAAAAACTGGAAAGTTTGAGGATTTGAATAGCATTATTGGGTTTGTTAGTGGTTTTAGTTACCTGTCTGAACAGTACCAGTTCTTTCGAGTGCTCGGCTTTTTTCAAGTATATTTTTCTTCTTCTTGGCAAGTTTAAATGGCCAATATAATTCTATAAGTTGAAAGATTATGTGCGTAAAATAAGATTTACTACATGTCCTTAAATTTAAGTAGATCTGTGTACTTTATAAGGGGTTAAATTTGAAATGAATTTTGTTGTCCTTCCTCACAAAACTTAAGTGGATTTAAGGATGTACAAGAAGAGTAAGAATATCTTTCATTATTGATAAAAATTTACAATGAAATGATGAATTTGCCTGTAACAGATATATGCCACGCGGACTGATACTATAGGTAAGTATATAGTAGGATCTGTGTTAAACTGTTGTTCTGAAATTTAAAACACTAATGCATGCCAGACTTAGTAAAGCTAGACATAAAGCTATCTCTATGCCTTTCAGTAATTAAATCTGCTCTGAATTTGCTAGTGTGTTGGTAACTGTACGGTATGCTTTTCAGTATTCTAGGAAAAAGTACTCTTACTTCAAATGTTGTTAAGTCTGGGGAGGGAATGAAATTGTAAAACAAAAAGGTACCTTATCACAAATGATAAAGAAATTCATCAGACTTTTCCTGACTTTTGTGGAAAAATATTTTCACTTCAATTTTGTGTTAAAACCTTGAACATTCTCAGAAACAATCGTTTTTAACAATGTGTTTGGAATGTGTCAGCCTACTTGAGAAGGGTTTCAGAATAAACAGATATTGAATAATTTGAATTATGTAGGGGATAAGATATGACAGAATTATCAATGGCAAGTAAGATAAATGTTAGTGGTGACAGATATTTTTAGGAATACAAAATATCCCAGAAAGGATGTCAGAATGAAATTCTCAAGAGTCAGAAAAGACATGGTCAGTAGTCAGATTAGACAGGACATCGGAATACTCAGATTTCAATTTAAAAGGATGTTGATATAATCAGGAGTCAGTTTTGTCAGGTTGTCAGAATATTTAGGAATTAGATTTAAGAGGATGTTGATATAATCAGGACTTTGATTAGTCAGATTGTCAGAATACTCACGGATTGAATTTAAGAGGATGTTGATATAATCAGGAGTCAGATTAATAACAGCACAAATCTTTGTCACCTCTTAAACTTCTTTTGGAAAGAAACCTTTTATCTTAAAGAGGAGTTTGGAATATTTCTACTATAACAAGAAGTACAAAGACATTTTAGAGCATCTTTCCAAATGTCAAGTGATGAAAATATACTATGAATCAGCATCCTTGTCTTAACTGTAGCCTATCACCACGTCACACCTCAACTGTAGCCTATCACCACGTCACACCTCAACTGTAGCCTATCACCACATCACACCTCAACTGTAGCCTATCACCACATCACACCTCAACTGTAGCCTATCACCACGTCACACCTCAACTGTAGCCTATCACCGCATCACACCTCAACTGTAGCCTATCACCACGTCACACCTCAACTGTAGCCTATCACCACGTCACACCTCAACTGTAGCCTATCACCACGTCACACCTCAACTGTAGCCTATCACCACATCACACCTCAACTGTAGCCTATCACCACATCACACCTCAACTGTAGCCTATCACCACGTCACACCTCAACTGTAGCCTATCACCACGTCACACCTCAACTGTAGCCTATCACCACACACCTCACACCTCACCACTGTAGCCTATCACCACATCACACATCACACCTCAACTGTAGCCTATCACCACGTCACACCTCAACTGTAGCCTATCACCACGTCACACCTCAACTGTAGCCTATCACCACATCACACCTCAACTGTAGCCTATCACCACATCACAACTCAACTGTAGCTTATCACCACGTCACACCTCAACTGTAGCCTATCACCACGCCTATCACCACGTCACACCTCAACTGTAGCCTATCACCACGTCACACCTCAACTGTAGCCTATCACCACATCACACCTCCACACCTCAACTGTAGCCTATCACCACATCACACCTCAACTGTAGCCTATCACCACGTCACACCTCAACTGTAGCCTATCACCACGTCACACCTCAACTGTAGCCTATCACCACGTCACACCTCAACTGTAGCCTATCACCACATCACACCTCCACACCTCAACTGTAGCCTATCACCACGTCACACCTCAACTGTAGCCTATCACCACGTCACACCTCAACTGTAGCCTATCACCACGTCACACCTCAACTGTAGCCTATCACCACGTCACACCTCAACTGTAGCCTATCACCACGTCACACCTCAACTGTAGCCTATCACCACGTCACACCTCAACTGTAGCCTATCACCACGTCACACCTCAACTGTAGCCTATCACCACGTCACACCTCAACTGTAGCCTATCACCACGTCACACCTCAACTGTAGCCTATCACCACGTCACACCTCAACTGTAGCCTATCACCACGTCACACCTCAACTGTAGCCTATCACCACGTCACACCTCAACTGTAGCCTATCACCACGTCACACCTCAACTGTAGCCTATCACCACGTCACACCTCCACACATCAACTGTAGCTTATTACCACGTCACACCTCAACTGTAGCCTATCACCACGTCACACCTCAACTGTAGCCTATCACCACGTCACACCTCAACTGTAGCCTATCACCGCATCACACCTCAACTGTAGCCTATCACCATGTCACACCT